TTCCATCTGCGGCGGCACCCAGAGCAAATTCTTCCCTTCGCCTGACTCTGCGCCGACGGCGACCGGAGTTTCCCCCGGTACGGTGGAATATGTACGACACCACTCTTCAAGATAAAGACCGGATGAGCAACACCTGCGAAAGATAGAGTATGTTCCAGAAGCTCGTCGGCCACACCCATCCAAGCTTCTTGAGGCTGATTGAACGCCTACAGCAAAATCAGGCGCTCGTTGCCACGGCGTTGACAAAAGCCCGGAGAGGTGAGCCCACCGCAAAGCGGGTGCGAAAAATTACTCTGCACCTGCAGAATCGTCTTAGAAATATTTGCGAGGGCTCGCATGTACATCGAGATCTACCAAGACTGCTGGAGCTAGTGGGGGACTGCATTCGCTTCTAACCAATCGATAAATAAACTTGTTTCTACTAAAATCCACAAGCCATGCGCCTGTCAGATTTAATTTATCGTTGCCTTTTTGTGTCGCACGCATGCACCTAAGTTGTCCGCACTCGTGTTAAGACCAACATGAAATTTTCTCGTGGTGAGCTTTTGTCCGGGTCTGTGAAAATATGGGTGAGCTTTTGTCCGGGTCTGTGAAAAAATTGGTGAGCTTTTGTCCGGTGAGCTTTTGTCCGGTGAGCTTTTGTCCGCGATTCACCTCGTTGAAGTTCGTGTGGGATTTTCGAGAATGGTGGACCACCTGAAGCATCCTGGAACACATGTCTTATCTTCTGTTACCGTTGAAAAAACGATACGGTGGCATCCCTGTTGTAAAGGTCCTTCCTGCTGACCCTCCGCCACCGACGCATGAAGTGAAGTCATCAAGTTTTGCCTTGCATACTCCAAATAGAAACCTCGTAGATTGCGACCTGATATTGCCGGCAGAGGTGCGAGCTCTACGAGAAACAGCGCGCTCAAGACGAGTCGCAGGTGTACGAAGTCTGGGTCGGCACAGCGAGGCCACGTCTGACCTCCTTCCTGGGTTTCGGATCATCAGAGCAGCGGGTCACTTTCACGTCGGCAGATGACATACCCCTGAGCCGTGCAATATTACGGGCGCAGCCGCAGACGCTTTCGAATATCTGTTGAACTTCACTGCTGGAGTTATCCTACTATTTCAAGTCAACCACCGCTAGGCTTGTGCTGCAATGGACTGTGACTCAGCTTTGCCGGATGGGTATACTGTGTAAGTTAAGGCAAGAGAGTAGGTTAGCAGCAGGCTTTGGATGCCCGAAAACAATGACTCAAGAAACCCCTACCTAAGGACCTGCGGCACAAGATGCTTTGACTCCACTCCTGGCACGCCACCTAGTTCGAGCCCCGACTACGCAACATTTCTCAGAAGAGAGAAGAGGACGCATAGAAAAAGGGTTTGGAGAATCGGAAGGAACCTTGATCAGCATGATAACAATGCCCCAGCATCTCCTTAACCCTGGTGCCCTCAGAAGTAAAAAAAAAAAAGCGCTCGGATTTTTTATTTTTTGAAAATGGGGGGGGGGGGGGGGGGAGTATTTAAAAAAAAATGTAACGAAATACATTTCGCCCTGATTGAATCGCGATACAAAGAAACATTCAAAATGTATTTCGATACAGAAATACAGATACTGGTGAAAAAAATGTATCGCGATACAGAAATACAGATACAAAATGTATTCCTGCAATACTATCGCGATACTGCCCAACCCTGTTTGAAAGTATATTGCATTTATAGTACTTGACTTCAAGTACGTTGCACCCAGTGTACTTAATACTTTACTTAAAATACAGCCACGATCAAAAGTAATTGGAACACGGGAGCGGTGGCCCAACTGCATTGCAGCGCAATCTAGCCGCGCTCGTGGGAACTGATAGGAGAGTTCGCGCATGCGTGCATGCCGGCGCCGATGGCTCCTCTGCTCCTCTTGATCTATTTTTTTAGCGGACGTTCTAATCGTTCCTTATCGCTTCTGGGACGCAACGCTAGGTCCCCGATGGCGCTGCAAGCAGACAGCGGGCACGCTTTCCACCCTTGAAGGCATCTTGGTGCAGACAGAAACAGAAAAATTGCTGTCCCACTAAAATATGCTCTCTAGTATCTTATCTTGACAAAAATGAAATAACAACGCGGTTCCTTGCTTGGAACTTATGGCCTTTGTCAACTTCGCCTGTCATTTTCTGCAGCTGGCGTTGCTATCTACTCGAAAGCAATATAAAGATATTTTTTACGTAGCGATGCGTCACGCCATTAGCGTTTGCGGCGTCACTGAACCAGCACCGATCCGCTTCAGGTGATTCTGATAGTGCACCCCTTTCCTCAGTTCGCGCTCGCAGGGAGCGTCCTTGTAACGCTGTCGGACGCTATCAGCGCCATCACGTGTCGTATCTGAGAAGCAGCGAAGTATTATCTTGATCTCCGGTAAAAGAAATAGAGCGGTGCAGAGGGACTGTCGGCGCCGGCATGAACGCATGCGCTTAGTCTCCTATCAGTTTCTACGAGCGCGGACAGATCGCGCTGCAATGCAGTTGGGCCACCGCTCCCGTGTTCCAATTACTTCTGATCGTGACTGTACATCACTTCTCATTTACTTTGTACTTTACTTGAAGTACTTTTAGATGTACTTTACCCAACACTGTTTTAATCACGTTCATTCCAAGTGAGACGTCACGTTTCAAATGAGCGTTTTGGGTTGTTTGAAATTCCCACGCTAGGTTACGTGCTGTGACGTCATGACCGCATCGATCAATCAGTATTTGCGCGTCACGCCGGCTTTTGTGGCACGCCACCGAGGCTGGCGCGACAGCAGCTCCCTACATAAAGCTTCATATGTTTTCAGAGCATTTTACTCGCCAAATTTTAAGTGCGAAATAATTCGCACTTACAAGCGAACTAATAAGCAAGTTACGACTTACAAACTGTCGTACTATGCTACTTTTAACTTATATTCATCTCTGCTACTGTGATATTAGCATCCGCTGTCCTTTTTTCAAATCTAGCGCGCTCGGACCGCGCGCAAGGATGACTAGATTCGCAAGCTATTCAGAGATGGCGCCACCAGCTCGCGGATGTGAATTTAGTGTATACAAGTGATGGGCTGAACATTTGCCGCATCGAAAGTTCGGCGCCGAATCTTGGGATTCGGCAAAGCCCTAACTTTTGCCGACTTTTTTAAAGATTCGGCGAAATACATTCTTACCAGACTTAACGTTGATATTTTGTTTTTGTCTGGCGAAAAAAGGTTTTATGTTTCTTTTTTTCTTATCTTAAATGCAATATGTAATACATATTGACATAGTTAATACTAAATAAAGGGATATTCTACAAGATTATTGTATTGGTGTCGTTTCTGTGTGTTTACTTGCAATTTAGTGACTCCTTGCAGAGGTGGCAAGCGTATATGTATGGATGGCAGCGGAGCTTCCATAGAAGCCAGTGGGCGCAGAGATGGCCGCTCATGGGGCGCAGCGCCATCTGTTAGATTGGCGGCATTGTCATTGGTCATGCTCACCTGTGACGTACAGGAAGTGGCGCTTTACGAAAAAGAAACACGATATGACGCAATTTCCTCATGATTGTGACGTCACGATTGTTTTTGACGCGAAATCGAAACGATTTTCACCGGTGGCGCGAAATTTAAATTGTTTTCAAATGTTATACATGCCTGCGCAAGTACCGTCCTTCATACCTTGCTTCACTCGTCATAGAATTGTTTGTATCAATCACTCCCATGTAATCCCTATTACAAAAGAACCATTTTTTTATCAGTTTTGGGAACCACCAAGTTCGTATTTTTTTCAACTAAGCAGTGTGTTACAGCACGCCTATGAAAGCATATTTATTATTGTAACAATGGCTTGTTTGCCAAGAAAGACAAAGAGGCACAAGCTTGGTTTACACAGTTTATTATATACGAACTTACAACGCCACCGCGGAACACTTAAAGATAGATATGGCGTTAAAAACAGTGAAACGAGGTTTGGACAACTCTATGCACGCACTTAATACTCTCAACAGGAGGCACGTTTACTCATTTATCTTGCACTGTTCACGTTGAGAGCTCGTAACTAGGTTTAACCATATCAATCAGAGGTGGAAGTGCGGGGCTGGCACGTATTTTGCATTTGAATGCCCACATAAATTAATGCTTTAAGAGATAGAAAATTGAGACCTTTCATTAAAGTACATGCGCTCGCCACAAGCATATTGTGCTCCACAGCTTGGCTGTCTATGTGAGGGTTAGTACGCAAGAGACTGCCAAAATATGACAGGAAAACAGCATTAAAAATTGTTATTAATTCGCTCTGTTGCAAATCGTTAGCACCATACTGACTCACTGATTTACTTTCATCGCAGTTTGATATACTTTTGTATACCTCAGACAGCGAAACATTAATCCAGGTTTATGTTTCAAGTCGTCACACTGCACAAGTAAACATTGAGGTCAACGAAAGCTTGTTCTCACACGCTCTTCAATCATGCACAGGGAGTGTAGGGTGTCTTCCAACCTGGAAAACCTAAAATTCTCAAGTAATGGGGATCATATTGAAAGGACAGGGTAATATCAAGGAAACCGTAAAAAAGTCCCTAGTCAGTAAGAATGACAAACAAAAGTGGAACGGCAGCGTGCAACCAAGCCCGATGATTGCACGTTGGTGCCGCTGCACTGAATAACATTGCTTGACACGTCACTAGGCAGCGCAGGCCACTAAGCACTCCCTTAACCGAAGTAACGGACAACATTTTATCGAAATAGTCAGGAAAACCTTGGGAAAGTAGGGGAATTCGGAATAAGTGATTTGGTAGACACCTAGTCCCATTATTCAAGTGAGCGACGTCATCTAGCACTATACAGCGAGGGTCGAATGAATCTAACATTTTAAATAGAATGGAAAAAAAAGTTGTGGAAGCTGTGACACTAAAATTTTGATATTTATTTATGGAAAACTCAAGCTCATCTAGCTGAACCTATACGTTAATTGCAGTGTCTGAGCATACGAAACGGACTTTTACACTTTATTTAACCCTTTGTGGGTCAAGGCATATTTTTTACACGGTATAACGAATACCTATTAAAACCCTAACAGAAGTGCAATTGAGAAGTCTTTTGCAACAAATTACAACAAAATAAGGGCAGCCGTTTATTAGAAAAAAGTGGGACATACTTGTCCCATTGGCAGATTCCGGTACTTTACAAAAATGGGATATCCATGTCCCAGTGTCCTTTTGGAGGGTTATACCTCAGCTAGGTAGTAGAATTTTCTGTATGGAATGGGCCGAAACAGGTGGCGCAAAGCGGGATGACACAAGCCTTACACACAAAACTAGTGCGGACCTCGTGTCCCGCGGTTGAGCACCACCGGCACCTTCTCCTCTTGGGCACCTTCAGGGGATTGTGGCCCTTTCCCCTAAACCGTAGCTCATCGCAGACGCCCACCATCTTCTGGCCATTTCTAGCCCCTTTCTTGTTTGTTCGAAATGGCCCAACACTCTGCGTGTGCCTGAACGTGTTTCCATTAATCAGTTGTCGACCCAGAACGAGGCGAAACCACAGGAATGTGATCTCACTGTGTGCCTTGATCTGGAGGAATGCGTTTACTGGGGCGGCGTCGAACAAGAAATAGAAAATTCGGTACCACCATTTTTTTGACCGCCTGTCAACCGGGTACGAGATTCGCCTCTGATCAAACCTGTCTACTGCGCCCATCCATCTGTTGTAGTCAGCGATTGCCTTTGGGCATACCACGCCAATAGAAGATCCATTGCTAAGTCTTCGTTCTATTTCTGTTGTGTCGCTGGGATCATGAAAATTTGACAAGACGTGCACGTCTTTGGTGTCGTGCCACTGGTAAGCAGTAACCTTCCCTCTTGTGCGCCATAAAAATTCTCCTTTTTGGAGTTTGTTGTTTCTCTTCAGCTCCTCAGGAAGATCTTTTCTGTTTGTTCGGACGGTCCCCACAGCAAGGATAGCCCTGTCTGCAAGATCTTCCATCAGGCGCGTGGACGTAAAATAGTTGTCGAAATACAACTGAGAGCCAGCCTCCATCTCTTCCGATAACGACAGCACGACATGTTCTCCTAGAGTCTTGTTGGCTGGCCGCTTTGCGTTCTTTCCTTCATACACTTCAAACCGCAGCAAATAACCCGTTTCCGAGTCTGCTCTTGCCCACACTTTATATCCTCTCTTGATAGGTTTCATGGGCTGGAACTGCTTTATCGATGACCTTCCCTTGAATCGGATCATGCACTCGTCAACCGCTTGATGCGCAGATGGTGTGTACTCTCTTTGAAAACTGGTGTTCAATGCGTCCAGAAGAGGGCGAACCTTAGCAAGCCTGTCGAATCCATCTTCTCCGTTCTTTTTTGTTTTGCTGTTGTCGCTCATGTGGAGGCAGTTCATGATAGATTGGAAGCGCTTGAATGACATCACCCTCGATATTTCTGGTGCGTTGAGGAGGCCATCGCAGCTCCAGTAGTGGTACAGCTGGTGTCTTGGGTTGACGCTCATAAGTATCAGCACCCCCAAGTAGGCACGCAGTTCATCTGTCGTCAGTTTTTTCCACTTTCTTCGGCACGTTTGCCCCGCGTAACGGTTTGTTTCTTCCACTAGCATGTGCATGACAGGGTCATCAAAGTAGAGGGCGAAGGCATCTGCTGGCTTTCTCGGAGACTTTGCGGAATACTGCGGATCCCAAGTTTTGGGATTTTTTACCACATTCGTTGGCTCACTGGTAACCCATGTACCCGGGACTTCTTCTTCTAGATCAGACACACCTTCCGCATCTTCATTGCATGCTTTTGTGACTTTCTTCTTCTTCTTTGTCTTTCGTTTACCGTAGGATGCCTTACGTTTTCGCTTACTAAACTTCGTTTCAGCTTCGGTCCAGACGCAGCCGATGCTACAAGCGCGAGCATGTGGCCCAGAACAGTGCTTGCACTGCACGAGCGCGCGTGCTTGGCAGGGATGCTGAAAGCGCGGAGCTCGCGCTTGTAGCTTTGGCTGCGTCTGGACCGAAGCTGAAACGAAGTATAGCCCATGGTGCATCCCTGCTAGTTGATGGAGCGTCAGCGTCTTCCGTCTCTTCCTGGCTTGAATCAGGAGGGGCAAGCTCAGGGATGAACTCTTCCTCGCTGCTGTCACCGTCTTCCTCACTAGAGTGTGGGTCATCAGGAAGACTGTAGAAAAGATCCAAGGCCTCTTCGGGTGTGAGGGAAGCTTTTCCTACAAAGATGATATCAAGTGTGACAAAGCGATCAAATGCGGTCGTTGCGCAATTTGGGGAAAATATTTTCTATTTTGCGCTCATTATACAACGCAGCCAAGGTTTAGAAATGTCTGGTCGGGCGATGATACTTGCGTGCGGGGTTTGGTAACACTTATCCGCCTTACAATGAACACCTCGCGCTGTGCCGGAATCTAGGGTTATATTGCATCGCGTGATTTACCAAAGGAGAAAGACGAAGGGCGGTGGCGCACCAATTAGGCTGTCCTGTGTTGCACGAACACACGAAGCGCGCAACACTGTGGCTGCATAAACGCCCGCCTCCCACCATTTTCCCCTATCCAATAACTGTACGAGAAAACCCTACAAAGCCCAGGCTCCCTTCTCTCTACCCCCGCTAGCTACAAAGCTCCGGCTCCCTTCCCTCTCCCCTCGCTACACCACACTATACTCCGTTTCACCTTATGTTGTACCGCAGCGAAGGCTGGAAGCGCGAGCTCATAGCGTTGACTGCTGCCCTTACTGCACGAGAGCCTGTGCCGCCGAGATCTGCCCCAGAGCAAGGAGCTCGCGCTTGGTGCTGACGAGCAAGCAAAGCACATAAGCACGGAAGCTCCAGCGAGAGACGCGCGGCGCAAAACGGAGATAAAGCGCGCGACGCAAGGTGGACGTAATGTGGCAAAGCCCACCTCACAGAAAGTCAACACCAGCTACCAACGCTACTGGAGCGAACGCGTGAATTCGTCCGGCGTCCCACTTGCGTGCAAATGTTCCGCGAAACCGATTCACATGTCCGCGCCATCAGCTTTGACAACCGAAAACACAAGAATAATAATTAGGGTTAGCAAAATGGGCACCTACTTTACGAGTTCCTACATTTCGACAAACTTTTCCCACGATCTCTAGCTTCAATTATTGCATGCATGCATTGATTCCAGACTATACACCTTTCTCTGAATGCCGAAAAAAGGAAAATCTTACCGGGCATCTTGGAGAATACACAGACACGATCGCACACGAGGGAGATTTGGGAAGACGCGCTGGCAAAAACAACAAAATTAAAACGCTCACACCGGTGCCGCCATCTCGTGAACTTGCGCAAATTAATTGTCAGGAGAGTTGTTGAAACCTTACGATAGGTGGCAACACAAGATGACTGGGCTGCATGCGTCCCGTTGCCGTTGACGGACAGTTTGGCGTGAATTACAAAGTGGGACACATATGTCCCGTTGTCCCACAAAGGGTTAAAGTATGCTAGATTCATTTGGTCATCGCTGTAGAGTTTCGGCAAAGCGTGTGATAATTAAGAGGTACTTACTCGCACAATCCGGTATTCTAGCGCGAGCATCGAATGCAACATATAAGACAAACTAAAGGCACTTCCTGTGGGCTAAGGCAAGTGTTGTCTCATCTGCACAGCCTCTGCACTTGCTGCTTGGTTCTGCGTCTCACAGCTGCATCAAGGAGCTCAGTATTCTTTTTACGGGCAAAACAATGAAACCTCACCCTTGCAAACAAAACAAATAAAGCAAGGGAAATTGGCGTTCGCACCAGGCTTTGACCGTGTTATGGAGAATATGTTTTCGAGTGCATCCTGGTTGAGATGGCGAGTCAGAAGGTATCTGAAACCATACTCAGATGCCAGGTGTTCACAACACAGCATCACGGACTAAATGGTCAAGAAGAAACTGCGAATGCAAGCAGGCTGCCGTGGACGCCCGAAAACGTTGAGGCGTCCGAACATAACAAGGCATTCTTTCAGAAACTCTTTGTAAACCGAGCTTTCGTGCATTGCAGACACATGTGCACTCTTCCCGCGTTTCTGTGAGCTCTTCAAGCTATCAAAAAGACGATAAATTTTTTTACTAAACCGGGCCGCCTGGATAGCTTCAACTGGCAGTTGCTGGAAAGTTACCATGGCAAACATCCAGCAGCAATGTGATTACTGAATATTTGCGCTGCTAGCTTCACTTACATCTTGGAGGCAAACGACAAATTAAAATGCTTTTCACTGATTCTTGGCATGAATCGGATTTCAAGCTGTTTGTCTTTTTCGTAGGCTTCCCTGAGGAAAGAGGTTTCCAACGTGGGTGGTCCACAACTTGAAAATTGTACTTGAACATATTTCGTGAGCACTTCAGCAGATGCGGAACATCAAATAGAAAAAAGTGGCTTCTCATTCACAGTTATGTAGGGCTTCTCTGGAGTAACAAGGCCATTAAAAAGAGCAACATTTTGATTCCCTTGGTTACATACGACCGCTACTGGCCCCAGGCCGGCTTCCACAAGCAAATTGTGGCACTGGAAAGGCGGTCTCGCAAAATGTTGGCAGGTGTTCCCCTATAAGCAAAAAAAAAATGGCCAAGTGGCTGCTTTCAAGCGTGCGAATGCCTTTAGCCATAAACACAAAACAAGAGCTTTGTTTGCGAGATTATGGCCTCTTCCAGTGTTACTTTCTTCGAGCCCTTTGAACCTGTCCACAGAGGGGTTGTATGAGAGCTTTTTCGTGACGTGCATCTCGTCAAAGACAATGATACATGGCTTGTCTCCTGGTTAAAAAGAGGCTGCACGTCTTTTGACAAGTTCGAACACTTCTGGGCAAAAACCAACCCTCAGGAGAATACGCTGAATCCAAAGCTGTAACGACCCAACGGATAGGAGCCTCAACAATTGCCTACAGCACCGGTAACCCTTAGGGCTGTGAAAGTACAAGCCCAAGGCAAAAGCTTTGTTCTGGCTGCACCACCGCCTGCCGAACCTGCTTGCATTGGACACCTTCAGCTGAGCTTCCACAAGGGCAGCGACGGCTGGAGACACAAGGCTACGTACACTTTTGAGTATCTCAGTGGCAGTCGCATATGACGCCGTCGCTGCAGTCGTCGCTGGAGTCTCTTGTGTTTCCGAAGCTGTCGAAGTTTAGCCCTCAGCACGTCCATCTTCCCCTTGCCTTCGGTGCGGGTAGTACAGGACCCTGCAAAGGGAAAGCAAAAGCAATTATGAAACGTTTTGGGAATCAATGAAACAAACAATATGCCTCCACTGTAGAAAATGTGGAAGTACAAGTTGACGGACACGTGGGTGAGAAACTAGAAGTCGAAGTCACCGACGCATCATAATCGGTAAGGGAAGGCTCGGGCGCCCACACATCGTTTCCTCCAGACGGCAGACCATGTCAAATCCATCGCGTATGTGTGATCCACTACAAAAAAACAAAAGAAAAGAAACAAAGTGACAGAGTGGTTGCAAGAAGCTAAACCAGCTATAGCCGGTCAAGTACTATGCAACAAAGTAATCTTCAAAGACTGTCCTAAACAATACACACTATCAAAACTTACCATGAACTCTGGTTGGAGGGCTAGTCTTCGAGCTACAGGTCACAGCCGTGAGATTGCTCCCCACATCTGCAAAGCAATGACGAGGCAAATAAAAAATCTGTCAAAAACATTAGTCATTTTATTGTGTTGTAAAAAACATGGCCATAGATGTTTTGCATGTTTCCCAAGAAAGCACAAGTACTGGGATCACACTCTATCATAGAAAGGATGGCTAATACCCGCGACAGTCCAAAATATACAAAAAACATGGCCTGCAACACTTCTCCGTCAATATGAAATTGCTTTTACCTTGTTCCATAGTGCGGTGTGTTTGACACCATGATGATGTAGGCCCACCGGTGCTACTGCTGCTGGCCAGTGTGGGCTCGCCCTCGCTGATCAATTGGCCAGGGCTGCTGCTCTGGACGGTCTATCCGGCACCTGTGGAAATTTAAGCACACACGCTATGTACACTGAAACAGTTCCCTGCATCTGCATGTGAAATACCTACTGAATAAGCTTACCTTCTCAGTAATGATGAAAACAGGATTTTGTGCTTACCTTCAGTGGTGAAATATGCTGGTATTTCATGACGACGCAGCCTTTATCGATAAAGAAACTCAGAAGGCTTGAAGTGCCTGGAGCATACCGTCCGTTCCCGCAGCTGATGTAGTGTCTTGTTTTGTAGGCTTGTGTTCCGGCAGAACTGAACCCAGACCCTCCGCCTGAATGTGAAGCAGTGTATTACTTTACATACCCTGGGCTAAAGTGGACATTCAAGAAAGAAACAAGATTACACAATAATGTTAGCGATAAACTAGTGACATCATTGTACTTGGTCTCCCGTCTGGGTCAAGCGAACGCCATGAGCGCGGAGCACAGCTTTGTGCCCGTGAGGTTATAGATAGGTCCACAACGCAGACGATTACATTACTAGATTCCCGAGCACGACATCTACAGCAAGTAGACCTGATAGTCGCCAGCATGTTAGAGGGACGACACCAAACACGTTTCAAGCAGAAAGGATGTTTTAGTGTTATTCACACCATAATATGAAAGTTCGTTGAAACTGAAATGTTCAGTCACTGTCTGTTATCAGGTTTTTGGGGTCACGCAGCCGTTCAGCAGAGGTCAAGCAAAGCCGCCACTAATATCTGAGATTAGTTTCGTCTCGCGCAGCTTGGAACGAAGACTGGGCCCAAAAAAAGCTCGATCAACGAATGCCTACTACTAAGTGAGCATGCATGAGTGCCTATAGAAGAGGTCAAGAACTTACCAGACATCACCGGACAACGGACATCAGGACATCAGACATAGTTGCAGCGGACACAGCTGCTACAAGTTTCACCTTGGAGAGTCCACAGGAAAACGATGGAGTGTGATACCAGCGTTGCAGTCATCACTTGGGCATCGCGCTTCCGAGCAGCGTCTCTTTACATAGGGCAGGCTCATCGTCCCGACGAACGGAACCTTAAACGCGCCCGGCGGGCGCTCGACGACAAAACCCGCAGAACGGCGCAATAGGCTTTAACTAGTACAAACCGTTTTGCACTCGGTCACGCAAGAAAACTTAAGACCAGAAATTCGTCAAACGGTTGCAAAGTGAAAGTTGGACGGGAGCTACAGAAATGCAGGGACACTGGCAAACGCAAACAATGCAAACACGAGCCGTATCAGGACTGCAAACTTCTGCCGACGGCGAAAAATAGTGACGTTGTAGA